CTCATCAAGAGACCTGCCCTTTATAACCAGCTGCCAGACCTTGCTTCGACGCCGCAGTGTTGACCTAGTTTGGTTAGCGACCTGAGCCTTGAACCTGAGAATCTTTGCTGTCTCTTGAGAGATTCTAATTCTCCCTTGTTTTTGCCTCACAGGAAAACTGTCTCTAACCTGAAGCTTTGGATGAGCTTAACCTGCCGAGATTGCCCTCGTGAGCCAAACCTGAAGATTCCTATGTGGATTCCCCTGCTGCTCTTGGCTAAGAGCTGGAAACTCAGATCAAGGTCTGCCTTTAAAGTCAGAAGCAAGACGCTGCAGCTGCTTTTGGACTCTGCTGAACAAACAGTCTCTGGACCCAACAGTTCCCTCTCTCTCAAAGAGAAGCCCGGACTCTATCAAGGTATACTCCTGAATTATCTTAGACTCATAACTCATCAGCCTGCTTCCTAATCAAACTATCATCTCTGCAGACTTCAGTGAACCTGCCCAGACCAGTTCCTGATCCAGTTCATGATCTTGTGTTTTTTGTGCAAACTAAATAAACTCTGTTAAACTTTTACCCAGCCTCCGTTGTGTTCTGCATGTGGGCTAAGAACTTAAGACCCATCATGACACTGTTATTGTGGTTCTAAGTCCTGAAGAGTCGAGCTCAGAGCAAATCAGCACTGATGCTTTTTTAGCTTGAAGCTCTATAGTATTATAAAATTAAATAAAAACCTTAAACTGAAGTAAACATGTTTTATGGATTTATAAACACCAACTTCTCCTAAATCTGTCTCCTCTGTGTTATTCTAGTATCATTTACTATAATAACTGTGTGATGTCCAGCTGTGTGTCCTCCAGCAGAAGTTGATCTGCTCCTTGTGTGTCTCTGCTCTCCCCTCCAGCTGGCCCCATGGTCAGACCCTCAGTCTCTCTGCTGCCCCCCTCCTCTGAGCAGCTCTCTGGGGGGTCGGCCATGCTGGTCTGCCTGCTGAGCGGCTACTCTCCTCAGGGAGCCGTTGTGAGCTGGGAGGTGGACGGCACCGAGGTGACAGAGGGGGTCCTGAGCAGCTCAGAGGAGGAAAAGAGCGGACGTTACAGCAGAAGCAGCAGCTTGAGCCTGAGCCAGGAGAACTGGATGAAAGGAGAGCTGTACTCCTGCAGGGTCCTCCATCACCACCACAGCCAGATCAAGTCCTTCAGAAGGAGCCACTGTGAGGGCCAGAGAGGCTGATGGAAGCCCAGGACAGGAGCTCTGAGTGGGAGAGAAGGAGGAAAACACCTGCTGCTCTCATCAATGAGTTTGAATGTTGGGAAGAGAAACTAAAGCTTTGTGTGACGCTGAACAACACTGCTGTGAAATGTTCAATAACTTAGATTAATGTGTGGAGCTCAGCGGCTGGATGTGAGTGGGATTCATTTGCTGTGGCCTCTAATAAAGCTTGCTCTGATACATCATCATGGGGAGAGTTGCTTTTTTCATAAAGTCGACAAAAGATCATTTCAGAAAATGTGGATTTTTAAATAGTCGATATTGATTTAACAAGAGCTCATGTTCAAGTCCTTCTCTGCT